CCAGTAAATGCAGATTTTCAGATTTTTTGCATAAAAAAATCAGTTAATAGTGTCACATTTGTTATTTTCAAGTTCTACTGGCAGCAAAACATTTTTCTTGAGGTTTATTAAATTGTTCTTTACACAGGATTGAAATTTGCGAAGTAGAAGCGGTCACTTGATTAAAAGTTTCCGTTTTTAGTGCGTTACTCGAGTATTTAAAACGGGCAATTTTCGCGCCATTTGAGAGCCCCTTGTGACGTATCAATATGGCATCCCAATGTGGCAACCTTATCTATTAAATGACTTTGAGTAGGTACAATGTGAGGTTATGTCACCATGTATTATTTGGTGCATACTTTGACTAAGCGGGAACCGTTAATGTATACATTGACTAGTTAAAGCTCACAGATCGTCCATTGTGAACACATTTACTGAGCAAATCAGTCAATGCATACGTTGGCTAGTCAGTGTATACATTGACGGAATGAACATTTTGACTGCAACAGTGTCAGCAGAGAGTAGACAGCGCGTAAATCGTTGTTGTCACGTGGTCTTGGCGTGGTCTTTCTGTTTAGTCAATTAATTGTCAATTAATATAACTAATAATTATTAAATAAGACTTTCTTGATTAAATATTATATTTTATTCCATATTTTGTATATAAACTACAAAACTTTAAATCCAACATAAAACCATTTTAAATTTCGCGGTCTGTCAAATGGTGTTAATAATTTTTGTTTTTGTTAAGTTTCCGCCAGGTTTGCTCCACGGTGACGATACTATATGTTTTCTAGGGGCTATATTTGGTCTAAAGTTATTTAGACAGAACATCTCTTCCACCTGAGGTATAGTATAACATATCCAGATATTTGGAATAATCATAAAATTTGAATTTGAGAATTACATTTTCTTATGATAACCCTTATAAGTTAGAAATCAAGAAGTGGATGTAGTGTTAGAGTAAAAGAAAAGAGGCATGCTTTATGTATGTTTCATGTGAGTTTTTCCGTCATAAAATTTTGAGATGACGTCATCAGCATTTTAACAAGACCATATACATCTATCTGGACAGGTGTAGTGTAATACTAACAAGGACAGTACTTCCAAGTTTTAGGAAAACTGGACAAATGTTTTGCATATTTTAGATAGAATTTGTTTGCGCAAATTTTTCGATGATACAAATTTTTTGGGAAGGCATAAACGAATAAGGCTTGAGTAACAATTTGCCATACTTACGATAACCTTAAATCGTTTGAAAGATTTCAGCAGTCGATTTTGCAATTTCAAAGTTAAACTGTAAAATCTTGTTATAAAATTTTGATTTTTTTTCCAAAAATCTAGATATTGAGGAGATAAATTTAACACGAATTCATAAACCGCAAATGCAGGAGTACATTTGTTGTCGCACAATTGCGAGATGATATCATCGGATTGGTGGTGGGGAAGAAAGAGATAGACACCAGACGCCAGACGACAGACGGCACAGAGACAGATGGAATTTAGAGATCATCATTTTGGTAAACTAGTAGTCCTGAAACATGGAGAACTGATGAAGTTGGAAATATGACTGGGTCGGTAAATTAAAATACTTTCCTTTGAATCGATAAGTCAAAATCGGTAGGTTGTTGCCATATAACTATAAAAATTAAATGTTATTGACAAATCGCGTAACAACAAATGTCGTAGTGGTTGAATCTGTAAAATACAAACAAAAAAAGAAATGAGTGGCTCGCATGTGAGCGCAATTTTTTATAGCCACAAATTCAATTTGTCAAATATTAAAACTATTACGTTGGCTCCATATCATTGTAGCATTATTTGACTTATTGATATTGATTCTTGCCTAGTTTATTGTAAGGGTACATATCTACCAAAAATTAATTATCAAATTCATATACAATGGCAGAATTTAAAGTGGGATAGTAAAATTATTAACTACAAAATAAACTGCGGTTGTAATTAGAAGAAAGGTGTACTGTTCTAAAATGAAATAAGTTACAAACATTATACCACCACAGCTAAACAACGTCCAAATTTATCGTTCGAATCTAAAACCCATTCAGTGGAATGTAAAATAATGCACAGTATGAATTCATTATAATGGCTCTTTACAAAGGCAAGGCAAAACGCGCTGCTAAAGCTGGTTGGTAATATAGGGACCAATGCCCTCCTGGTGGACAATAGCTGAACTGAAATAGGTAGTGCTTGCATTAAAATGCAGCCTTAGAAAGGCAGAGAAAAATGCATCTTCAAAAACATAAATAGAATGCCTCGCTAAGTCAAGGTACGACATTATAGTTATTATTATTATTATTATATGTTAGTATGCTCTACAGGTTAAAACCCAATTACAGAACATACACACAACATGCCATCATTAAGTAGGTTTATAAATATTTCACATCTATTAGTCTTAATTGATTAGGATTTGTATTAAATAGATCTACAGTCCTTTGTGCAGAATTACCCAATCTCAACATGTTATACATAGGTGAGAATCGTAGAAAATCGGTTCGAGGTGTGGACATGTAGAACACATTGTGCACTCTGGTTGCAAGAAAACGTTTATTAATATGGAATTCAATTTGATATAACAGATCTGAACAGTTTATTTAAAAATTTAAGATTTTATATAAGAAGTACACAGTGGTAGTTTTATATCTATCAGATAAACTTAAAATAGAAAATCTTTCAAGTAGCTTAGATTGTTCAACTCCTAAAGGAGGATATACACTATCTTCTCTGAAGCAAATATATTTTAAAAAACGTCTTTGAACTTTTTCCAACATAGTTACATACTTCTTTTGATAAGGAAACCAAACAATATTTGCATATTGGATTATACTCCGAATGCACGTCCTATATATATGCAACAATGTTGTTATATTATTGAAATCTTTAGTATTCCTTAGAATGCAACCATATACTGCATATGCTTTTTTGCAGATTTTAAGCATGTGATCCGTAACTTCCTAACATGCTCTATAAAGTTCACTTCTGTGTCATATGTGACCCCGAGATCTTTTATAAATTGTGGACGCTTCAGAATTTCTCCATCTATTTTGTACTCAAAATTAAAATTCTCTTTTCTCCTGGTGTAAGTCTTTATGAAACACTTATCTTTATTCAAAGGGAGTTGATTGTTTGTGGACCACAGAATTACACGTTCTAAGTTTAATTGAAGCCTCTTACAGTCTTCAATATTCTTGATCTCAAAGAAAAGTTTCAAGTCGTCCGCATACAGCAGATATTCAACATCAAGTTGGTTGGTGATATCATCAATGTAGATATTAAAGAGTAATGGGCCCAGAACTGATCCCTGAGGGACCCCAGACGATTGAAGAAATGTGTCAGACGAATAACCCTTGTAATATACATATTGCGACCTGCCAGACAAATAAGAACCAAGAAGTTCAATCAATGAGTTTGAAAAACCAAAAGCTTCCAACTTGTTAAGTAACATTGCATGGTTGATCCGCTCAAAAGCCTTAGAAAAATCCGCATACGCACAGTCTACCTGACTACGTTTATCTAGGCAATCTGCTAAATACTGTGTCTTTATGAACAAATTAGTCACCGTTGATTTTCCTTTCACGAACCCGTGCTGCTGCGGCGTTAAACGACTAACAATATGTGGATATGTCTGAGAGTATAAAACGATTTCGAGAATCTTGGCAAAGTTGTTTATAAGAGTAATGGGTCTATAATTTCCTATTTCACTTCGCCGACCTGTTTTATGAATAGGAACAATGCGTGATAATTTCCAGCTATTTGGAAAGACAGACTCTTTTAATATTAGGTTACATATTACTGTTAAGGGTTTTGCGAAAATAGTTGCACAATCCTTAATCAGAAAAGACGGTATCATGTCTGGTCCTGCAGTCAATGATGGTTTCAAACGTTTAATAGCTCTATATACCGTTTCTTCATCAACTTGATTTATATGTAGTATGTCTGTGTAGGGTTTAATAAAGGGAGTAGTTGGCTGTAGTGAATTTGGTGCAAAAGATTTTCTAAAAAATTTTGAGAACGCATTGACTATACATTGAGGTCTAATGAATTCTTCACTCTCATATGTCATTATTGAAGGAATTTCTGACCGATTATTTTTCCCGTTTATATACGCCCAGAATTTTTTTGGATCATTTTTAACGTCTATAACTACTTTGCGTACATATGAAAGGTAGGAATTTTTCACTAAATTTTTGGCTTTATTTCTTAATGTTTTGAAATTGTCATAAGTCTCCACATTTTTGTTTGTTTTAAATTTTTTCCAAGCCCTATATTTTTGATGCAAAACTTGAATGATTTCTGCATTATACCATTTTGGGTAATTTCCACGCGGCAGTTTTTTTAATGGAACCCAAGATCTAAAATTGTTAAATATGACTTCATACAGGGAATCTACTGCCTCATTGACATTACTAATAGAGTCTAAGAAAGAAAAGTCAATAGCACACAAACTTGCATAAAGTTGGTGAAAATTAGCTCTTCTAAAATTCAGCTCAATGTTATTGGCATTATGGTTAAACGGAGTAGTCTTTTTTTTATCTACTTCAAACACGATACTGATCGCAGGATGATAAGGATCTTCGCGTGTCAATAATTCAGGAGAGCGTGTAATCTCACACTTGATATTAGTAAACACCAAATCCAGTAAACGCATATCAACATTTAGAACTGCATTTTTCTGAAACAAATTGAAAAAACTCGAGAAATCATTGCAGGTGCGCACAATATTAGAAAAGTTTGCATGAGAAGCTGGGCTGCTAAAAAACTCAGGTATGTTAAAATCACCCAAAATTATGACATCAGATTCGAAAAAAATGTTAATTGACATTAATGAATCAGAGAGTAATACGTAGTCCTCTAGAGATGTACCAGGAGAAATATATAACACTACAATGTAAATAGATTTGTACCCTATTCTCACCTTTACAATTAAGATGTCTATATGCTGCAAGTTGATAAAATTTTCACATAACAATTCTGGATTAATTTCTGTTATTTGTATTTTCTTGTGGGCTGCAATCAAGACACCACCACCTCTAGACTTGGAAGTGGCCAAATTGTCCCTGTCTCTTCTAAAAACATTAAAATAGTTTACATCAAAAAACTCACCGCTATTAGTACCATTGTGCAACCACGATTCAGTTAAAATAATCATATCAAATTCAGTCATTGTTAATGAATTAACAAAAATTTCTGCAGATTTGGTGTTCATGCCACGCACATTCTGATAGTATATACTTATATTTAAGACACATCTAAAAAATTATTTCCCAAAGGTGCAGGTGTACTGGCTAGAAAACTGTTTGGTGAATTAGAATTTATCTGAGTATTAGTAATATTCTCAGGATTAGCAGGATGTTTAAAATTAGGAATCTTATTTATTTCTATTTGAATTGGTTCTGCAAAAACAACATTTCTAAGTTTCGCCAGTGCAAATTTATACGCAAAGCAGTTGGTGTAATCCCAGGCTGAATGATCTACTCCTATATCAAACCCATGTATATGTCTTAAGTCTCTACAGTTAATACACATTTTTTTTTCTGACGTACAGCTGTTTACCTGATGCGAACCCGCACATATTGGACAAATCATTTGTCTTGGGCATTTATTTTTCGTATGATTTAACCCACTACATTTAAAACAGCGAACCACATTTGTATCATCATACACTTTGCAAATATTTATTCCAACCAATAATCCGCCAGCATCCATTATTTTTTTGTATGTAATAATATCTAGTTGTAGAGTAGCTTGAAGAACTTTTTTATTTTTCCGCAACTCCCAAAAATTTAGCAAGCGTAGTTCGGTTGCGTCGGCTAGCAGATCACTGTTTTGAGATTTCAAGTAATTCATAAATGTCTCTTTATTCAAACACGATGGAATACCTACCACTCGAATCTTAGGATGCTCCGATCTAAGGACAAAAACATCATAATCACCTGAAAGTTTATCAGTAGCGAGTCTTTTTAATTTATTTGAATGCTCACGATCGTTGCACCCTACAATAACAGCTCCTCCTTTGGTTGTTTTAGCATTAGTAACACGAATATTTTCATTAACCAGATCAACATTCCGCAACAAATCTTCTTGCGTTTTCACTGCTTGTTGAGCAACCTTAGGCTTAATCATGACTTTAGATTTTGTAGACTCAGATAATTTTGTTGCATATGATTTTTTTACTTCAGAATTACACGGTATTTTATCAGATGAGTGGTTATTATTATTAGTGCTGTTTGATGTTAAACTAGCAACTGCTTTATTAGTTAATGTACGAACTAAATCAATATTTGATTGTTTGAGAACATCAATCTCCCTCCTAAGTTCTGCAATTTCTACTACCATATTACTGTTTGCACTAGAAATAATATTCTCAATCTCGCAGCGAAATTCAGCACTTTGAAAAACAGCGGCATAATTAGATGTGATAACGTTCGGTGTATCAACAAAATAATTGTACATAGGTATTTTAAAAATTCCGTTACAATCTGCACAAAGAAATTTTACATGCGTAGAATATCGACGAAGTCGTTCACAAGTCGCTTTATCCTGTTGCAACAACCCCAGACAAGAAAAATGAACTGGACGCCCGCACCCATCACAGGAAAATGCAATTGATTTTTCCACAGGACCAAAACACACCGGGCACTTTTCAGAACTCGAAGCATTTTCAGACAAAAAAGAAGGCGAGTCAGCAGCAGATGACATATCTACATGTGATCAGCACTTTTACTAATAAAGAATTTAAAAATTAACCTCAAAACACAATGTAAACAAACAGTGTAAACAAACGATGGCAGCGAGCGCGACTAGCGCGCCGCTCCAAATTAAACCTCTAACAGAACTAATAAAGGTAAACAATACATAAAAACAAAATTTATCAAAATTATTAATGATTAAATATTGACAATACAAATGATGCAAATAGCTTCAGTAACTATTTGGCTCATGCAAGCACACCTGAAGTAGCAGAAAGATTTTATTTACCTTATAAACACAAAGAAAAGCACCACTGTCCACAGTAACTACATACACGTAGATACAAAAAAAAGAAATATATATAGTTCAAATTCAATAAAAATCGACAAAAATACAGTTTCTAGCTAAAATTTGATGGTTTCGTTGCACTTTCCGAGCCCGTAGGGTATCTGATTGGCTTAAAAGTACAAGAAAACACTTCAAAAGTGACGTTTCTGAAGAATTTTAACAGTTTTCTTGTATCTACGAACGCCAGAATGCATAAAATTGACCTAAACGTCTCCTTTTCCTATTCTGAGTCGATTCTGCATGCTTTAAGTGTGTTTGGTGGCTCAGAACCATCAAAAAACGTTGAAATATAGTTCAAATTCAATAAAAATCGACAAAAATACAGTTTCTAGCTAAAATTTGATGGTTTCGTTGCACTTTCCGAGCCCGTAGGGTATCTGATTGGCTTAAAAGTACAAGAAAACACTTCAAAAGTGACGTTTCTGAAGAATTTTAACAGTTTTCTTGTATCTACGAACGCCAGAATGCATAAAATTGACCTAAACGTCTCCTTTTCCTATTCTGAGTCGATTCTGCATGCTTTAAGTGTGTTTGGTGGCTCAGAACCATCAAAAAACATTGAAATATAGTTCAAATTCAATAAAAATCGACAAAAATACAGTTTCTAGCTAAAATTTGATGGTTTCGTTGCACTTTCCGAGCCCGTAGGGTATCTGATTGGCTTAAAAGTACAAGAAAACACTTCAAAAGTGACGTTTCTGAAGAATTTTAACAGTTTTCTTGTATCTACGAACGCCAGAATGCATAAAATTGACCTAAACGTCTCCTTTTCCTATTCTGAGTCGATTCTGCATGCTTTAAGTGTGTTTGGTGGCTCAGAACCATCAAAAAACGTTGAAATATAGTTCAAATTCAATAAAAATCGACAAAAATACAGTTTCTAGCTAAAATTTGATGGTTTCGTTGCACTTTCCGAGCCCGTAGGGTATCTGATTGGCTTAAAAGTACAAGAAAACACTTCAAAAGTGACGTTTCTGAAGAATTTTAACAGTTTTCTTGTATCTACGAACGCCAGAATGCATAAAATTGACCTAAACGTCTCCTTTTCCTATTCTGAGTCGATTCTGCATGCTTTAAGTGTGTTTGGTGGCTCAGAACCATCAAAAAACGTTGAAATATAGTTCAAATTCAATAAAAATCGACAAAAATACAGTTTCTAGCTAAAATTTGATGGTTTCGTTGCACTTTCCGAGCCCGTAGGGTATCTGATTGGCTTAAAAGTACAAGAAAACACTTCAAAAGTGACGTTTCTGAAGAATTTTAACAGTTTTCTTGTATCTACGAACGCCAGAATGCATAAAATTGACCTAAACGTCTCCTTCTCCTATTCTGAGTCGATTCTGCATGCTTTAAGTGTGTTTGGTGGCTCAGAACCATCAAAAAACGTTGAAATATAGTTCAAATTCAATAAAAATCGACAAAAATACAGTTTCTAGCTAAAATTTGATGGTTTCGTTGCACTTTCCGAGCCCGTAGGGTATCTGATTGGCTTAAAAGTACAAGAAAACACTTCAAAAGTGACGTTTCTGAAGAATTTTAACAGTTTTCTTGTATCTAAGAACGCCAGAATGCATAAAATTGACCTAAACGTCTCCTTTTCCTATTCTGAGTCGATTCTGCATGCTTTAAGTGTGTTTGGTGGCTCAGAACCATCAAAAAACGTTGAAATATAGTTCAAATTCAATAAAAATCGACAAAAATACAGTTTCTAGCTAAAATTTGATGGTTTCGTTGCACTTTCCGAGCCCGTAGGGTATCTGATTGGCTTAAAAGTACAAGAAAACACTTCAAAAATGACGTTTCTGAAGAATTTTAACAGTTTTCTTGTATCTACGAACGCCAGAATGCATAAAATTGACCTAAACGTCTCCTTTTCCTATTCTGAATCGATTCTGCATGCTTTAAGTGTGTTTGGTGGCTCAGAACCATCAAAAAACGTTGAAATATAGTTCAAATTCAATAAAAATCGACAAAAATACAGTTTCTAGCTAAAATTTGATGGTTTCGTTGCACTTTCCGAGCCCGTAGGGTATCTGATTGGCTTAAAAGTACAAGAAAACACTTCAAAAGTGACGTTTCTGAAGAATTTTAACAGTTTTCTTGTATCTACGAACGCCAGAATGCATAAAATTGACCTAAACGTCTCCTTTTCCTATTCTGAGTCGATTCTGCATGCTTTAAGTGTGTTTGGTGGCTCAGAACCATCAAAAAACGTTGAAATATAGTTCAAATTCAATAAAAATCGACAAAAATACAGTTTCTAGCTAAAATTTGATGGTTTCGTTGCACTTTCCGAGCCCGTAGGGTATCTGATTGGCTTAAAAGTACAAGAAAACACTTCAAAAGTGACGTTTCTGAAGAATTTTAACAGTTTTCTTGTATCTACGAACGCCAGAATGCATAAAATTGACCTAAACGTCTCCTTTTCCTATTCTGAGTCGATTCTGCATGCTTTAAGTGTGTTTGGTGGCTCAGAACCATCAAAAAACGTTGAAATATAGTTCAAATTCAATAAAAATCGACAAAAATACAGTTTCTAGCTAAAATTTGATGGTTTCGTTGCACTTTCCGAGCCCGTAGGGTATCTGATTGGCTTAAAAGTACAAGAAAACACTTCAAAAGTGACGTTTCTGAAGAATTTTAACAGTTTTCTTGTATCTACGAACGCCAGAATGCATAAAATTGACCTAAACGTCTCCTTTTCCTATTCTGAGTCGATTCTGCATGCTTTAAGTGTGTTTGGTGGCTCAGAACCATCAAAAAACGTTGAAATATAGTTCAAATTCAATAAAAATCGACAAAAATACAGTTTCTAGCTAAAATTTGATGGTTTCGTTGCACTTTCCGAGCCCGTAGGGTATCTGATTGGCTTGAAAGTACAAGAAAACACTTCAAAAGTGACGTTTCTGAAGAATTTTAACAGTTTTCTTGTATCTACGAACGCCAGAATGCATAAAATTGACCTAAACGTCTCCTTTTCCTATTCTGAGTCGATTCTGCATGCTTTAAGTGTGTTTGGTGGCTCAGAACCATCAAAAAACGTTGAAATATAGTTCAAATTCAATAAAAATCGACAAAAATACAGTTTCTAGCTAAAATTTGATGGTTTCGTTGCACTTTCCGAGCCCGTAGGGTATCTGATTGGCTTAAAAGTACAAGAAAACACTTCAAAAGTGACGTTTCTGGAGAATTTTAACAGTTTTCTTGTATCTACGAACGCCAGAATGCATAAAATTGACCTAAACGTCTCCTTTTCCTATTCTGAGTCGATTCTGCATGCTTTAAGTGTGTTTGGTGGCTCAGAACCATCAAAAAACGTTGAAATATAGTTCAAATTCAATAAAAATCGACAAAAATACAGTTTCTAGCTAAAATTTGATGGTTTCGTTGCACTTTCCGAGCCCGTAGGGTATCTGATTGGCTTAAAAGTACAAGAAAACACTTCAAAAGTGACGTTTCTGAAGAATTTTAACAGTTTTCTTGTATCTACGAACGCCAGAATGCATAAAATTGACCTAAACGTCTCCTTTTCCTATTCTGAGTCGATTCTGCATGCTTTAAGTGTGTTTGGTGGCTCAGAACCATCAAAAAACGTTGAAATATAGTTCAAATTCAATAAAAATCGACAAAAATACAGTTTCTAGCTAAAATTTGATGGTTTCGTTGCACTTTCCGAGCCCGTTGGGTATCTGATTGACTTTAAAGTACAAGAAAACACTTCAAAAATGAAGTTTCTGAAGAATTTTAACAGTTTTCTTGTATCTACGAACGCCAGAATGCATAAAATTGACCTAAACGTCTCTTTTTCCTATTCTGAGTCGATTCTGCATGCTTTAAGTGTGTTTGGTGGCTCAGAACCATCAAAAAACGTTGAAATATAGTTCAAATTCAATAAAAATCGACAAAAATACAGTTTCTAGCTAAAATTTGATGGTTTCGTTGCACTTTCCGAGCCCGTTGGGTATCTGATTGGCTTAAAAGTACAAGAAAACACTTCAAAAGTGACGTTTCTGAAGAATTTTAACAGTTTTCTTGTATCTACGAACGCCAGAATGCATAAAATTGACCTAAACGTCTCCTTTTCCTATTCTGAGTCGATTCTGCATGCTTTAAGTGTGTTTGGTGGCTCAGAACCATCAAAAAACGTTGAAATATAGTTCAAATTCAATAAAAATCGACAAAAATACAGTTTCTAGCTAAAATTTGATGGTTTCGTTGCACTTTCCGAGCCCGTAGGGTATCTGATTGGCTTAAAAGTACAAGAAAACACTTCAAAAGTGACGTTTCTGAAGAATTTTAACAGTT